AGCTGAGTCCCTACTGTAAGTCAACAAGTCACAAGTCAAGTCATACAAGATTCTCCTGATCTACCCCAGTTTCCACATTTCAATCAGAGAAAAGACAGTGATCCAAAAATGTGTTTTATTTAAATCATTAAAAAGTGTTGCAGGTCGCTTACAACTTACTGATATTTGACACTTTGTGGCAATCAATAAGTCTCCTATATGAACAACAATGGTGAGTGGGGCTCTGAAATTATAATATAACTCTATAGCTTAAAACATACAGTAGGTACAAAACAAAAAAATTATTACAATTTTAAAACTCCTGCCTTGCAGGAAATAAATATTGTTCTCAAGGAAATAACAAGCTCTATGTTCTTGATTTCTTCTCTTTTCCTTTTATTTCAGTCTGGAGGCTACTTTATGATGATTGTCAGGGCTAATGATAGCTAATGTTATGGGAATATCATGTATTTAAGTGAAATTTTCACAAAAGTCCTCTGATTAATTGAGTGCTCATAGGTTATAAACTAACCCTTAGTTATTAAATAAAAAAGGCACGCCTTTCATGGATATCAGAAGCTCTTCTTAGTAAAATGTGTAATTGACTTGAAGCCAAGTCCGACAGCTTAACCTCAACTTTAGCCTTCTGGCTAATGTTAGGTAATCTTAGCCACCAGGAGACTTTCACATAGCATTGCTTGCCTTTCTTTGTGAATTTTGTAGTGACGGATGAAGTTGGATGTTGTGGTCGTGTCACTGATTTTTTGTATTGCAGACTTTGCATACCACTCTTCTCTTGTTACTACCGTGACTGACAACATAATCCTGGAATCCAGATTTTATTCTTTTTGGACTAGCTCCCTCCTTGTTTGCTGCATCCTGTGACCTGCGTTGCCCTTTGCTGGTCTGCCGTGTTCTGCTAGGTTGCCAGGTTTGCAGGCAGTGCACTATATATCACCCAGTTTTGTTTCAAAAACAAAATGTAACTGCTCAGTATCTAGAAAAATGCTGTTATTTAATTTTAAAAGTCAAGTAATTTCAAGTGAAAGCCAAGTCATGAAATCCAAGTTGGGTCTTTTACCAGTGATAGTCAAGCAAGTCTCAAGTCCTCAAATATTCAACTTAAATCTGACTCAAGTCAAGTCATGTGACTCAAGTCCCCCAGCTCTGTTGAGAGGTAAGGAAGAGCCATACTACCACTAAGAAAAGGTACAGTGACTGTCCGTGAAAGTGATGTAATGTGTAATTAGCTGTTTACACAACCTTGTATTGAAAAACGGACCAGTAAGTGCACATTCCGACCATCGCTCGTACGTGATTGGTCAGTGCAGTGCCTTTGCTGGGTGATGTCACTGTCACTGAACTAGATTCAGCTTTTTCCCCGCATGGTGCTGCATCGTCTTATCAGAGCCTGCTGGGGTGCTGGTGCCAATCCCCCATAGGGCTGCTTTTTTTCACACATTTGAGCGCATCCTTAGTCCTGCCCATTTAGTCCATCTTTAGAGCAACATCAGTCTTTTCACAGCCAAAATGTCTCCATGTGAGCGAGGACAATCCACATCTGTATTTTTTATCCTTGTGCTCCTTGTTCACTCACTTTAATCTTTGCTAATGTTACATTACATTCAGGCAAAATGACAACCAAATCTCTGGAGCAGAAGGTGATGAGCTAGTCCCTTGAAACAGGTCATCATCCTTTGTTTGGAAGTATTTTGGATTTATGGCAACAAATCATATACAAACTGTTCATGACACTTCTGTCTCCACCGCAACACAACTAACTTGTTCAACCACCTAAAAAAAAAACACTACAAACTGCAGAACGCTTATTGCATAGAGGTCAAGAAGAATAATGTCACTAACGGTACCTCGCTGAACCCCTGTCTTTGTCCAGCGTCTACTCAAACATCTTTAAAAGTGGCTCCCAAAGACAGACTGAAATAAATGCAGTTGTAGTCCAAATGAAATAAGTGAGCAAGTAAGTGAAAGCAGTGCTCTGTTGATTTAATTTAGGGTTAAAAGATTTTGGTACAGTTTTATTTATATTTTGCTTGTATAGTACTGTAGAAGATGCATTGTGAATAAGGACCAGTCTTAGTTCAATGCAAAGATCTGTGCATTAGCACAAGGTGGAAGTGAAAGTATTGTTTTGTTTATTTAAATGTTAAAGTGCAATAAAAGATGTGTTCCTAAAATCAATGACTAATCATGATAATGATGTCAACATTGATCAAAATCATTGTGATTATCATTTTGGCCATAGTCATGAAGTCAGTACTACCACAGAAACCACTAGGTGCTCTCCATGCAGGTGGGAGCGTGCTGATGTCAGCTGCAAAAGGTTTAGTGGAGATGACCTTTATAGATGACTGCAAGTTCGTATACCCAAGTAGGATGAAAAGATGACTCCCAGTGTCAGGAGGAGTTTTCCAACATGACAACCATCCTTACCAAGATCCTTATCACACAAGATATTAAGAAAAAAGTGAACGATATGTCCTGGCTAAGTATGCCCCCTAACTTGAATCCAGTAACGTATTTTAAAGCAGAGGGTGGGCAACAAAACCCCTCCAACAAAGGTCACCCAAAAAGATTAACCTGTGAAAGATGGCGGAACGTATCAATACAGATCAGTAGAGGACTGGTATCACTGGAAGATCCAGTAATAAACACTGACATACAAACATAGTGACTTAAATATGGACCTTTCATTATAGTTTGACTCTTCAAACATTTTTAATTTTTAAGTTAATTGGTTAAAAACAAAGCAAATTAAAACTGGCAGGATTTTAAGTTAACACTTTAACTGGATTTTCTAAACAGAGCCAATCTGTTAAAACTGTTCCACCTGTATCTTTTCCCCACATGACCACAACCTGTTGTGTCCTAATGCAGGACACAGTGATCGTTGCAGTTTACCAGTAGCTGAGGTCTAGTGTCAGCACTGCTTAGAAATGCATCTAGTGATGGATTTAGAAATGCAGTGAAGAGAAAAATGGAGAGAAAAATTAAATTAGTTGCTGATCACAAACTGTAGCAGTAGCTGCACTCCTAGCCATGATAACACACTCCTCACACACTCACACACACTGTCTCCTGGGTACAAGTGGATTCCCAAACAGGACCCATAGAGTATTAAAAATCACTGAATCATCACACAATCACAGGAAATTAAATTCATATCTGGATGTATACCAATGCTATTATGCTTCTTTGTGTGCATGTTGTGCCATTTTGTATCAATGCAAGGATTTTTTTTTTGCTCCATCACTGCTGCCTGTGGTGAATTAAACAATAACTGCCCAAATGTTTGGCCTTATGTGTTAGCACCAAATGTCACTGTGGCATTTTTGTGAAGAGGCTCTGCCTGCATTTGGTGAGCAAGAAGCACTTCACAGAAATCAGCCATGTTTCATTGCTTTGGTTGGAAATGTATCTTAGGTGCTATCCAAATGGTCATCACAAAAATCTGACAAACAAGCTTTTCAGCTAACAGCATCCATTTGTAGTTTGTGGTCAGGGCTGCCAGAGATCGCCTTCTGTTGTAATAAACAGCCTAAACAATGAAGCCAAGTCTATGAGTTAGTGTGTATCAGCCATGTGAGAATGGACAAAGCATGGAGGAGGAGCTGAAGTGACTGAAGATTCAAGATTTTAGATTTTTGTTTGCCATTTATGTATAAACAACAGTCTAGGAATTCTTGTGCAGGGCTCTTCTGGAGTCAAATAAAGAGTTTAAAGCCAAAAGAACGAACACCTAGTCTAAATATATGATCACCCAATACAAAATAGTTGATAAAATTGTGGATAGAGGAATAAGATAGCAGGTAAATGGGGTGTTTCAAATATTGCACATAGTGTAATTGCATATGGTATTCTACTTAGTAGGGTAATGAGGGGTTATTGCACAGGTTTTTCACACTGGAAGCGAAGGGAGAAGCTCATCCACACTCTGTCACTTGTTGTCTGCTTCAGATGTTATCATGGCATTCAGTGGTCTGTTATCACTTGTTAATGGATCATAATTATAGCTCAGAAAGTCCC